GGACATTCTATGAAGTCATAATAAGTCCTTAGACAATTTCCAGCAGCAGGGATGAGTTAAATAAATAGCTTTCTGAGCTTTAATTTGTTCATTATTACTTTTCTGTTTGTGGCTTCTGAGCAGATTACTGATAACATTGGAGCTGTAGGATTCAGTATGCTCCTATAGGTGTATGCTGGTACCTGTGAGGTCATCATTACTAGTAATATAACTTTCGGCATAACTTGTGGTTCAGGGTTCAATCACACTTATCCACTTGACGACCAGCAACAAACCTGTACATTGTTCGACTTCAAGTGGTTGTACCAGGATGATGCCCCGCACCTGCAGACATAGTAGTACAGTTTTTTAGAGCCAATGGTCAGCTTTCCTGTAAAAGCAATCTTAGCAGTTAACTAGCCGCTGGATTGCTATTACAAGCAGATGTCCCCCCTCCCACCAGGTTTTAACAGGCTGTCCCTGTCCCCCCCAGAACACCCATTTGACCACAGCTGGCTATTTACACTGATCATAGAGCCAAACAAAGTGCAGAAGTGCTCCATTCGGCTTTGTGATATCAAGAACCGGAAACAATGACCTTAGGTCACTTCCAGTTTACATAGATATAAACTGCACCATTTTTAAAAATGCAAAGCATTTGATCACACCAACCTTGGTGTGATCAAATGCTTTTTAGGGCAGTGGACGGGTTTGTGGTCTTATTGACCCCAAATCTCTTCATAAAGAGTACCTGTCACATGCCTGTTGCTGTCACGAGAGACTTTACATTCCTTGTACAAGCAATAAAAGTGATTAAAAAATTTTAACGCAATAGTGTAAAAATAAAATAAATAAATTACAAATTTTTTTAAAGTCCCCCCCCCGTCAGTGCTTGCGCACAAAGGTGAATGCACACGTCGGTCCCGCACACATGCAAGCAGTGATCGTACCACACATGTAAGGTATCACCGCAAATGTCAGATCATGGGCCAATATTCTAGCACCAGACCTCCTCTGTAAATCTAAAATGGTAACCTGTACAGGCTTTTAAAATGTTGCCTATGGATAGAAAAATGTTCATTTAGATCTTTTTATGTGATTAAGTGTATTATGAAAAAAAAAAATGGTTCAATAAAGCTTTGAACCCCCCTGCCCCCCCCCCCCCCCCAAAAGAAAATTTTTGTTTGTTGCCATTGCACGGGTGTGTGCAGTTTTAAAGCGTGACATGTTTTGTATCTTTTTACTCAATAAATAGATAACATCATCATTTATATTTTACCAAAAAATTGGGTTATATATTGTGGGGCTTTTTTGCATTAAAATTCAAAAAATTGTGACATAAATTGCAACACCCACCAATTTATTCTCAGGGGCCTCTGCTTTGAAAAAATATATAATGTTTGTGGGTTCTAAGAAATATTCTAGCAAAAAATACTGGTTGTTACATGCAAACAAAAAGTGCCAGAAATGGCTTGGTCTTCAAGTGGATATGCATTTATTGCCCATAGTTGATGCAGTTTCATCCTGTGAATTTTAATGTAAGAACTGTCCGTGCAGAGACATGTCATCACAGTACTCTCAGATTCAGAAATATATATAAACTGTCAACATCATATCTTGCAAAGAAACAACTTTACACTTGGTATTTCTTTGGGCAGCCCAGGTTATCTGTACTTCGGGCATATGCTGTAGCTTCTAAGAGCACCAAAGGCATGGCTTTTGATTTTTGTCCAGTTTATCTGCAATACATGTAAGCAGTGTGATTTCTAGGGTTCCCAGAAGTGCAGATTGTGGTTTTTGCACAGACAGCCCAGCTCAGTTTAGCTGACCTACACACATACACTGTGGCTTCTATGAACCTCAGAGGTGTGGCTTGTGGTGTTGGTCAGCCAAGCCAACTCAGATGTACTACATGCATACACTGTAACTTTTATGAACTGCAAACATGTGGCTTGTAGTTTTTGTTCAGGTATCCCAGCTCAGTTGTACTATATGCATACACTGTATCTTCTATGAACGTCAGAGGGGTAGCTTGTGGTGTTTGTTCAGACAGTCTAGCTCACTTGTATTACATGCATACACTGTAGCTTCTATGAACTTCAGAGGTGGGACTTTAGATGTTTATTCAGGCAGCCCTGATCAACTGTGCTACAGTCATACACTGTAGCTTCTATGAACCTCAAAACTGTGGCTTGTGTTGTAAGTTTGAGCAGTCTATCTCACGTGTACTACATGCAAACACTATAGCTTATATGAATCTCACAGGCATGGCTTATGTTTTTTGTTCAGATAGCCCAGCTCAGCTGTTCTGCATGCATACACTGTAACTTCTATGAACCTTAGAGCTGTGGCTTGTGTTGTAAGTTCGGGCAGTCTAGCTCACTTTTACTACATGCAAACACTATAGCTTATATGAACCTCAGAGGCGTGGCTTGTGTTTTTTGTTTATGCAGTCCAGCTCAGCTGTTCTGCATGCATACACTGTAAAGAAGATGAGGCTTGTGGTTTCTGTTCAGAGAGCCAAACTCAGCCGTACTATACACATACACTGTAACCTGGAAGTGCATTGGAATAATGTCCTTACAGGATGTCTCCAACTTACAAGCCAACCTCAATGCACTGTTTAATTGGGCAACTATGTGGCAAATGAGCTTTAATGTTGATAAATGTAAGGTTCATGCACTTGGGGGCTAAGAATATGCATGCATCATACATACTAGGGGGAGTACAACTGGGGGAATCAATGGTGGAGAAGGATCTGGGAGTTCTGGTAGATCACAAGCTTAATAATGGCATGCAATGCCAAGTTGCGGTTTCTAAAGCAAGCAAAATCCTCTCTTGTATTATAAGAGGTATAGACTCCAGAGAAAGAGAGATCATATTACCCCGGTACAAATCATTAGTAAAACCTCATCTGGAATATGCAGTTCAGTTTTGGGCACCAATTCACAAAAAGAACATTGGGGAACTGGAGAAAGTACAAAGAAGAGCAACCAAACTGATAAAGGGCATGGAGGAGCTCAGCTATGAGGAAAAATTAGAGGAACTGAATGTATTCTCTCTTGAGAAGAGGAGATTAAGGGGGGATATGATCAACATGTATAAATACATCAGTGGTTCATATAGTGAACTCGGTGTAGAATTATTCACCCTGAGGTCACCACAAAGGACAAGGGGACACTCTTTACGTCTGGATGAAAGGAAAGTTAATCTTCACAGTAAAAAGCTGTGGAATAGACTCCCTCAAGAGTTGGTTCTGGCCAGCTCAGTGGATTGCTTTAAAAAAGGCCTGTATTCTTTCTTGGATGCACAGAATATAATTGGTTACTAACATTTATAGGTAAAGATGATCCAGGGAATATCCAATTGCTCTCAGAGGATCAGGAAGGAATGTTTCCCCTGCAGGAGCAAATTGGATCATGCTTTGCTGGGTTTTTTTTGCCTTCCTCTGGATCAATTGTGGGTATAGGATTATAACTTTTTTGCTTTTTTTTGGTTGAACTGGATGGTCTTTTGTCTTTTTTCAGCCAGACTAACTATGTAACTATGTAACTCCTATAAACCTGAGAGATGTGGCTTTATGTATTTGTACAAACAACCTAGCTCACTTGTAGTACATACATACACTGTAGCTTCTATAAACTTCAGAGCTGTGGCTTGTGGTGTTCAGACAGCCCAACTCAACTATACTACATCTATACACTGTAGTTTTTAGGAACCTCAGAGGTGTGTCCTGTGGTGTTTGTTCAGGCAACACAAGTCAGCTGTACTACATATATAAACTGTAGCTTTCATGAATATCAGCAGTGTGAATTATCCCAAGGCAGTCATGATCACACCCTCTGGATCACAAGGGTGCTACAGCTTGGGCCTATGTTACAGGCAAGATAACAGTGCTGCTCAATACATTGCATATAATTATTGTTCATAGAAGTCCTTCCTACTGGATAAGCCCAGACAACATGGCAAAAATGTAAGAAGAGTCTATACAGCAACCCACCACTTCCCACATAATGTTACCAATGCCAGGTCACTGTCATTGTTTTAGACCTATTAAAAGCATGTTTAAAGAAATGAGAAGGTCAGTACTCAGTTAATTGCTAGAAAACACAACCTGAATATGTCATTGTACAAGAATTCTATAGGTATTGTTTTAAAAATGTGATATTTCATGATAGCTGTCTATTGACCCTGCTCACCCTTCTGTATTGTGAATAGTGCTGAAACAACTAATCAACATAATCGATTATAATCAATAATGAAAATAGTTCTCAACTATTTTCATAACCTATTAGTTGGTCAGCCAATTAATTGGCCTGCATACAGAATGCAATATTTATTTATATATCAGAAAATGCAGTGGAGCGCACATACAGCTCAGTACACTGTCCATGCATGTCAGTAAGTGTCTGAGAACTTATGAATGTGTGAGGAGCAATGCCTCCTGGAACATGTAGTCTTGAGTAGGAGAAAGAAGTGATTTAAAGTGATTCTGAAAGATTATTTACCTTGCTATAGGGGCACTCTATATTGTACTTTGCAGCTTGCTATAGGGGCATTCTGAAGGCAGGAGGAGCCAGAAATTCTGGCAGGGGACCCCCAGAAGAGGAGGATCGGGGCTGCTCTGTGCAAAGACATTACAGAGCAGATAAGTCTGACAAGTTTGTAGTTTAAAAAAAAAGGTTTACAATCACTGTAAGGGCTTTGTGCAAGGAAGATCAGTATCTAAACCCAGAGAAGCTGGAGGTTGATAGACTGGAGGTAATATAAGGCATTACAATTACATTTTACCAGCATTGTGCATTATATTTAAAATTATTATCTCCCTGAAAAAGTTTCAGCTATTAGTACTACTTTAATATAAAAGTTTTATATCTTTTATATCTATTATATTTTTTTTTTTTCTACAAGTAATGACGGTGATCAGAGCCTTTTAGCGGGACTGCGGCGGACATTCTGACACTGCGGGAGAACTAACTTGGTGTCACTGACATATCCAGTGACACTGTACTAATGACACTGGGCAGGAAGGGGTTAATGTGAGGGGTGATCAAAGGGTTAACCGTGTGCTGGGAGTGTTTTACTAGGGGGCGGGAGGGGGTGTTCTTCACTGTAAGCACACTGACCGGGATGGCTGTACTGTGCATAGCCATCCTGAGCAGTGTACTCGAGCTGACAGGGAGAAAGATTGTTTGTAAACAAAACAATCTTCCTCCCCATCAGAGATGCTCGATAATCACCGGGAGCTGGCAGGTAATTACCGGCCAGGACCCGGTGATTGACATCAGAGGCCGCAATTGGCAGTGCGGGTAGGGCGCGCACGCGGCTCATGCACGCCCCCTACCCAAAAATGCAGAATGACGTATATATACGTGATCCTGCACACAGGTGCCGCCCTGTAGCAATATATCTGTTATAGGGCGGTCCTAAAGTGGTTAAATAAAACTTTTGATCTTTTTAAGTCTGTTGATATGTACTAGATTCACCCTCTTATAGTATATATATAGTGGTTTAGATATTTTGTTCCCTAACTATATAGCTGTATATTTATATTTACCACTTCATATACTGTAGATATTCAAGAATAAATTGTCTTTTTTTTTTACGTTTTCATATTAACTAAATTATACACTAACCTTTTTTGAGAATTTAATTTGATTAATCGATTAATCAAAACAACAATCGGCCAACTAATCGATTATGAAAATAATCAGTAGTTGCATCCCTAATTGTGACAAATGGCTAATGTGCGTTATCATTTCTTCCAAAAGACGATCCACATATGACTGGTCTAAACATTTTACATCTTCAGCCTGCTTCCAAAGTGTATTTGCACAAGGCACTTACACCTCCTCCTTGTTGAGTTTTCTTGCTTTTTTTCCTGTTTTCGTAAATGATCCCCCTTCAGGTTTCATGGCCTCCGATACCATTTCTGCTCAGCTAAAACTCTCAGTAACATGGCTTATTACATAGGCTAGTGGAATGGAGGTCTCGCAAAGCAATAATTGTACAACAACCTTGTCTTTTTCAAGCCTTCAGCAGTAAATATTTTCCCAGCCGGCACTCGGATATTTGCAGTTAATACAGAATGTCAGTCCTTGAAATGAGCACTTTAAGCTGAATGGATGCTTCTGGTTGTGATGATGAAATATCGGTATTTCTCTATGACAATATAATTGTTTACGGCTCTTGGTTGTGCCTCTGCCTGGATCACACAGATGTTATTCTGTTCAGTAATGCATAGACAGAAGTATTGTGCCAGAGCCTGTGCCTTTCCAGGAGGTACATCGTTTGTATTCATCTAGAAAAGCAAAGGCGGAGAGATTGTGTCTAAACAGTGCTATGAGCCATAAGGAAATTCATACCACTGCTAATCTGCTGTGTTTTTCGTTAATTAAAGGGAAGCATCAATCAAAATCAAAATAATTAGCAATTCTTTCAGGATCGTATGCATCCTTTATTTTTTAGATTGCTATTGCTGATTCTCTTCTGAAAATGTCAGCTGCCTGGCTGCAAGGTCTAATCCTCATCCTGTTCAACATTTCCCCATGAGAGAGACCACATGACAAGATACATGTTCTGTTTCAAATATTCGTTGAACATTCAAACCTAACGAAAGTTTGACCACGAACTTTGAACAGAGGGGACAATTCACTAAGCGGTGTCTTACCGCATCTGAATATGCGATAAGATATCGCTCAGCTACTAAAATACTGCATCAGTTATATTATTAAGTCATGCGGTATTTTAGTAGTGAAAACATTCTTTCATGTTTCAGTTGTCAGCGGGATTACCTACTGACAGCTGAATGTAAAAAAAATAGCTGGCATTGCCCAGTATTAACCACTTGAGCTCCTGAGGATTTACCCCCCTTAATGACCAGGCCTCTTTTTGCTACTTGGCGCTGCACTAATTCAACTGATAATTGCGCGGTCATGCAATGCTGCACCCAAACGAAATTTACGTCCTTTTTTTCACACAAATAGAGCTTTCTTTCGGTGTAATTTGATCACCTGTGTGCTTTTTTATTTTTTCACGCTATAAACAAAAAAAACGCCAAAAATTTTGAAGAAAAACAATTTTTTATTTTCAGCTATAAACAAATATATAGTAAACTCAAAGTTGGTTATAAATTTAGGCCAAAATGTATTCTGCTCCATGTTTTTGGCAAAAAAAATCCCAATAAGTGTATATTGATTGCTTTGTGTGGAAGTTATAGCGCCTAAAAACTATGGTATAAATACTGCAATTTACGCCATTTTTCTGCTATACAGCGTTGCGCTAGTTTAACGGACAATTGCGCAGGTCATGCAATATGGTACATAAATGAAATTTACATCCTTTTTTTTCCCACAAATTGAGCTTTCTTTCGGTGGTATTTGATCGCCTGTGCGGTTTTTATTTTTTGCGCTATAAAAAAAAAGGCTGACAATTTTGAGGGAAAAAAAAACAATATTTTGGACTTTTTGCTATAAAACATGTCCAGTAAAAAAAAATGCAAAAATCAAATTTAGTCATAAATTTCTGCCTAAATGCATTCTGCGACATGTCTTTGCTAAAAAAAAAACCCAATACGTGTAAATTAATTGGTTTACGTGAAAGTTATAGCGTTTACAAATGGCGGGAAAGATACTGGGATTTTTAGGGGTTTTTTTATACTAATAATGGCGGCGATCAGCGAATTATGGCGGCGATCAGGGACTTATGGCAGCGACCAGCGACTTATGGCGGGGACTGCGGGACTGTGGCAGACATTCTGACATTGGGGGGTACTGACTTGGGGTCACTGACATCCCCAAAAACACTAATACAGTGATCAGTGCAAAAAAAAAAAAAACTGACACTGTACTAATTGCAATTGGGAGAAAGGGGTTAACTTTATTTAGCAGGGAAGGGTTATAGGAGTGAGGGGAGTGTTTTACTAGGGGGCGGGGGTGTGTGTACTGGGCGGGGCAAGGCTGATCGAGAAAGTGAAACTATTCTTTCTCGATCAGCTCATCCTCGAGCTGACAAAGAGGTGACAGACAGCACAGCTACTGCAGCTGTGCTCTGTGTCACCGTTTACCGCCGATCGCCGGGACATAGCCGCTAATGAGCATCTGTGACCCGGCAACTGACATCTGCGGCGGTGATCCACAGGACAAATAGGGCGGCAGCGCGCCTCGCGCGCGCGCCCCCTATTTGTTTACAAAATGTACGTTTTAAAACGTCGTTTTGCCTGTGAGTGCCGCCCTGCCACCGTATATGTACAGTGGCTGGGCGGCATGCGGTTAAAAAAAAAAATGCTTGTGGTTCCCCCATCCAAACCAAGCCCTTCAGGTCTAGTATGAATGTTGTGGGGAACCCCTACGCCAATTTTTTTTTTTTTTTTAAATGGTGTGGGGGCCCCCCCCCCCAAATCCATACCAGACCCTTATCCAAGCAGGCAGGCCAGGAAAGGGGGGGACGAGCGAGTGCCCCCACCTGAACCATACCAGGCCACATGCCCTCAACATGGGAGTGCTTTGGGGCAGGGAGCCCCAAGATCCCAGGCCCCCACCCATATGAATGAATATGGGGTACATGGTACTCATTCACAAAAAAAGTGTAGTGCAAAAAAATGAAAGTAGACAGTCTTTAACAAGTCCTTTATTAAAAACTAAGAAAAAAATTGTCCCCCGAAGTAGATCCAACATCAATCATTATGACCGCCTCCGCCGCAACCCGAAAAAAAAAAAAAGAACATTCCCATCTCGACACCGGCTCCCACCGTCTGACAGCGCTGGGATGACAGTTCTTAAATACTGTGATGACATCACAAGGGGGCAGGGCCACCCCACCCCTTGTGACGTCATCATGTACTGTGATTGGCCAAAGAATTATACCTGACCTGCGGTCAGGGCACAGTGCATTGTGGGGTGTGGCAGGTGAACAACCTGCCAAACGCCCTTACTGTTCATGTGTTTGGCAAAACCGCGAACAGCCGATGTTCGAGTCGAACTTATGTTTGACTAGAACATCATGCCCAGAACTAGTTTCAAATGCTGCTTTATGCATTAGCATACATCCACAGACCCAGTCTGGACAGTATGGTCACCTGCTGAATTGGCACCATCCACAGGCATCTCAACTCCAATAAGACACAAAAGCTGAATCCAACACAATAGAACTTCACATAAATTTAGTACAGAGGATATTTTTCCAGGATTTTGAAGTGCAAGAAGACAATGACGTTTTCTAAGTCCTGTCTTTGTGAAGGACTAATATTACCTGAGGGAACAAGGAAGAAACATGGTGAGTCTAGCTATGACTGAACTAGCTAGCACTAAACAGGAGGGAAGGTCAGAGTGAGAAACCAAATCACATAAGTAAAAAAGTTGCAGTCTCCTAAAACCATCACTAGATGTCATCATACATCAAACAATCATAACCTAATATATTTCAATACAACAACAAAAAAAATGCAAATAGGAGGGGCAGACCAATACAATATAGACCCATACAGTATATCAATAAAAACCTGACAGTGGCTGGAACTCTAGTCCACTATATTCATGTATGATATAAATGGCTTTGTCCACAGATGGCCAGAGAATCAAAGTGACAGACAGGCAATTAGCTCTTTCAGGAAAAGGGAAGCAGTGGCAAGTTGCATACATGTTTCTTGAAAGGTTTCCTTTAAATAGGCAACCAAAATGTTTCATTTGATCGTTGTCATGTTGGAGGTTAAAGCTCTTCTACATAAAAGATGTGGCTCCCTGAGAATTTTCCTAAATGAAACTCTGGGGAGAGAATGGGCCATCATAAAATCAAGCTGGGTCACCAAGCACCCTGCATAATGACAGCCTGAAAGCAGTATCCTTCAAATGTACTCCGGAGTATGATTGATTTTTTTATCATATATATATCACTATACGGTATATAGTTACATAGTTGGTCAAACTGAAAACAACACAAGTCAATTTTGCTCAACCAATAGAAAAAAAATGAATAGTAAATACAAAACAAATTAAAACCCTTAATTTTCAGAACCCTATACTCACAGGTGATCCAGAGGAAAGCAAAAAAAACCCTATAAACCATGATTTAATTTGCCACAGCAGGGGGAAAAAAATCCTTCCTGACCCCAAAAAGCAATCGGATATTCCCTGGATCAACAATCTCTGGTTTTAATCTCCCATGTCTGCCTGGTGAAGATTTTGGCCTTTAAGACCTGCCCCATCATTCCTCAACAATCTTGGGTAAGACGGGAGGCTTCCTCCACCTCTGTAGCCCTGGGAAATGTTATATTGTGTATGTCTATTGGGGTAATGCTTGCATGAACATTATTATTATTATTATTATACAGGAACATGCGATTATTTCTTTGTCTTTCTTGATCTTGAAAGAATGTGTTTTGCTCCCTGTGCTCCTGAAGAAGTAGTACAATACTGTGAAACATGTAGAG